GGGGGGGGGAGCCAGCCGTGGGGAGGAGCCGGGCCCCGGGAGCGGCTGCAGCAGGAGCCCGAGCGGGAGGCAGGGAGAGGGGAGCGGAGCCAGCGCCTCTCCCCCGCCGGGTCTCGCTCGGGCATGTTTCCCAACTGGATTAGGAAGGGCGCGGGCCGCTTTCTTCCGGCTCTTCTACAGGCGTCGGAGCCTCGTCCCTTCCCGGTGCAACCAAGACTTGTGCAGCTGCTCGGCAGCTGCCTCCCCCTGCACGCTGTTCCCCACTTCTCGCCCTTTTGTCTCTGGTTTTGGTGCCTTTTCCCCTCCTCCTCGCCTTTCTCCGGACGGACCCCCGGCTTAATCCGGGCCGGGCTAGTCCGAGTCTGGGCTCGGGATGCGGCGGTGCCGTGGGGAAGAGCCGCTGCGTGACAGGGAGTGAACGTCTGTCTGCGCCGCGCTGCAGAGCAGATCCACTGCCTGGGTCACGTCAGCCCCTGTTGCTTCCTTCATCGCCGAGGCCTAAGGCCTGCGCCTGGCCAAGCCAGGACGGCTCCAGCATCCCCAGTTTTAAACCCAGCGGCAGCACCGATCGCCCGGGGAGGGGATGGGAGCGATGGGAACTGGGGGGAAGGGAGCTCTCCCCGGCTTGGTGCATATGCTAGATGCCAGGCAAGTGCCGCTCGGAGCAGAGAGCTCCTGCAGGCCCGAGCCAGGAGGTTTATTTAATCCAAGCCCACAATCGGCAACACGGAGAGAGGGTCCCCATCCCTGCCCGGGCCGGAGTCGCTGTTAAGCCCAGAGAACGGAGGAGGATTCAGCGGGGATAGAGAGAAAGAAGGACTCCCGGCCCTGTGGCTGCCCCCGGTGCACTGGATCCTGCCTCCCCGCAGCTGCCAGTGCAGGGTCACCCCAGGAGCAAGCACCAGGTGGGTGAGGTCGGACAGGAGCTGGATCCCAGCACTGTGGGTGCCCAGGATCAAACTCCCCGCTGTGCTTCATGGAGCTGGATCAGGGCCAGTCGCAGGCGGCAGAGCCCCAGCGCCTTCCTGCAGCAAGAGGAGACCTGGGCAAGGAAGGCAACCCCCGGCAGGCCTGGAGGAAAGGCTGGGTCCAGTCGAGGGCTGACAACACTCCTAGGACTGCACAGGGGCAATGCTCAAGCCCCAGGGCAACAAGGCACCTTCCTGCTTCTTAGCCCTCACCCCAGGCTGTTCAGGGCCAACCCCCACTTCCCTTTTCATTTCCTTCCCCCAGGCCCCTACCTCATTCACCTGCTGAGCCAATCACAGGTGATTTAAACCAGGTGTGAGGACAATGGTGGGGAGGCCAGCAGCTTTCTAGCAAGGCCCTTCCCCACAAGGCATTGACAATAAGGTAAAACACACAGGAGCTGGCACCATAAAGCCCTGCCAGGCCCAGAAGCTTGTGGAATAAATGCCCTTGTGGCGCTCCGCCGGGTGGGCACAACAGAGAAGTCACTGTGAAGTGGGGAAGCAGGGACAAGGCAAGGACAGCACATCAAAGTGCGGTGCCCAGGACATTCCAGGCTTGGCCCCTGCATGCCGCCTCCTGCCCCTGGGACCAGCTGGCCTGGTCCTTGGCCCCACTGCACATTCCCTCTTTGTGCTGTGTGCAGTTTTGTTGGAGGGGGAGGGCAGCTGCTGCTTCAGCTCCGATCAGCTTCACTCCACTGGCATCAGCAAAGCCCATTAGCACCAGTTGCCCCCCGTGCACCTCTTTGCAATTTGGGCAGCTTCCTCTCGCATTTTGTTTGTTATCTTCACAGCTGGGTCTGCCATCACAAACCCTGCTGCCGACAAAGGCAGGCTGAGCCCCCTTTTTCAGGTCGATGCTGTGATTTATTTCCTCCAATACATTTCATTATAAATTCCAGAGATGGAGAGGAAGAAAATTATAGCGCAAATTTATTGCCCTAAACCCACAGGGGCAATTTTCTATATGGCAGTTTCTCAAGCAGTTGAGGCAGGGTGGGAAATTGGCCCTTTCTCGACTGGGATGTTCAAAGGCACCAGGATATTTTTTGAAGGAGTTCTTCCAAATGGTTTCCTGAGAAGGAGTTATAGCTGCAGGGGTAGCTCCTGGCCTCCGGCACGCTTGCAAAAAGGATTTCAGTAGCAGGCTACAAATAAGAATTCAATCGACTCTGTGCCTAGGATGTGTAGGGTGTCTGTTCCTCACTAGGCCAGGCATTTGTCAGAAGGGAGTAAGTCTCTCCCACCCCCTTGATGCTGGAAGGGAAAGGGAGAGTGTGGATGAGTTTAGCAAGTAGTGCTGAGACTATTCTCAGCTGCCTGGATGAGGCCGGGTAGTGCTGCTGAAGCCAGCACTTGAGACTTCCAAGTTCACTCCACCTAACTCAGCTCATTCGTCTCCCCTCCCCTCGTTCCTCATTTCACTCCCATTCTTACTCTTCATTTCTTGCCACTACAAGTCCACTGCTCCAGGCCTCACACTGAACTATTCCAATGGCTTGAGACTTCACACCTCCCACTGGGACCTAGGTGGAGACTTCTGGCTGACAGGGCCTTGAATGAGTGACCTTAGCACTGTGTGCGCGCCCTCAGTTCCCACCAGATCTTAACCCCAAGCAAGGGCAGGGCATCAAGGAAAATTCAAGGAAAGGAGATCTTACTGCCTTTGGTAACTGCGATAATGCCCTCTTTAAAGTTGAGCAGAGATACCCCCACAATGTGCTCTGTGCAGGAACAGAGCCCTCGGCCATTCACTCCCCTAACTGCTGCAGTGTCACAATCTCCAGCAGACTTTTCTTGGCAACACCGTCCCCACTGTGCCCAAGAGAAATGACTTGCCCAAGGTCATGGGGAACCTGTGGCAGAGGAGGGCATTAAACCCAGGTGTCTTCATTATCAGCCTAAAGTTCTGAGCACTGGAGCCAAGCAAGTAGTAAAGCCAAGGAAATCCCAGCTTGAAACAACCCACTCCCAGGCTCCTTCCATCCTCCCCTGCGGACAGATAAGCTTTCCCCTCTGTGCACAGTGAGTTCTAATGGCGGAGCCAGGTGACGGTTCACAATTTGCCTTTGTGTGGCTTTCTTCTGTTCAGCGTTTCACCCTCAAATCCCACTCTCCCAGCCTGCCCTACCCCCAGGCCCAAGCAACTGAGCCACTGCCAGGAACAGAGAGCCTGCCCATGCTTGGTTTGCGCCTGATGGAGCAGAGCAGAGGGCCTGCCAGGATGACAGGCCTTCATCTCTGTCCCCACCCTGTGCCCTCTTGGCAGATTTTGTGTTTGGTAGGGAAACTGGAAAAATGTGTGATGCATTAATACACTGGTAACCCCCCTCTCCCCCACCGCCAAAATGCCTGGCACGAAACAGTAGAGAACATCAACAAGAGAGCGGTGCCGTGGGGGGTCTGTAGGGAGAGGCATCGCTTTGTGATTCATTCCCCTGCCGCTCTCTGTGTGTTCCCATTGCAGCTGCAGAGAAGTGCTCCAAAGGCCAGGCGTACCACCCAGTACCTACCAACTGCCAAGGCCCGCTGGAAGATGCCCCTGATCTCAGATGTTCCCCGGTGGCTTCTCTGGGCAACCTGAGGGAGCACATCTCCCCTGAACTCACGGACTCCATGGAGCTGTCCAAGAACAAGAACAAGAAGAGGAGGAACAGGACAACCTTCAGCACCTTCCAGCTGGAAGAGCTGGAGAAGGTCTTCCAGAAAACTCACTACCCCGACGTGTACGCTCGGGAGCAGCTGGCACTACGGACGGACTTAACAGAAGCCAGGGTGCAGGTAAGGGGAAGAGGGTAGGGGGTATGTCTGCAAGGGCCCCTGCTCATTGCCCCAAAGATAAAGGCATGAGGTTGCCTTTGCAGTAGTTCCAGCTACACTTGGATTATACAAGTCAAGCAGGGTCAGGTCTAGTTTGTACATGGACGAGAGATGAGGAAGCACTTCTTATGTGTTACTGATGACATGGAAGATGATGCTTTTTCAGGTAATGACCCTCTCCCCTCACTAGGTGCAAGACAAGGTGTCACCAGAAGGCCAGTGCACAAGTTCTGCCTCCCTAAGCCCTTCATCAGTTTACAGCTGACTAGTGTATCCCTCCTTGCCTGGTATCCTTGATGCAAAGCACTTAGTACTGTTAGAAACCTGCCAAGAGCCACCCCAGGTGCAGCTGCATTTTAGAGGCAGCCCTAGTTTCTCTCAGTCTCGTTTCAGCCTGGCATTCTCATTCACTGACATCCTTTACTAACATCCTACTGCATTTCTAGAGCAGCATCCAATCTAGCTGGCAGGTTCCCATGGCTGGCACCCCTTGCTGTGCTAGGGGTTAGGTTGGAGTGGATTACTCATCCCTCTAATAGATGGAGAGGTGACACCCAGGACATTCCTGGCAGAGAGCAGGACCCATTTCTGTACTGGCACCACCTTTGCATCAAGCAGGCTGAGCTTCTTCCAGAGGCAGCTTCGTGCCATTTCAGTCTTGTGTTGGAAAAGCCAGAGGACTTGCTTTCAGGGGCACACAAGAGTGCAGACACCAGAGTGAGTGAGAGTGATGAGCAAAGGCAACGGTGGGAAATTGGCTCCCAGGACTTGCAAAGCACATCTGGATAACAATCCACCCAGTCAGTCACTGGCGATTAAATATTACTGCAGAGGACAGGCCAGCCTCCAAATATAATTCTGGGCAAGGAAGACTATCCCTTCAGCTCAAAGACAGAGACAGCATCCTGCCCCCATGTGGGGCAAGGAGACAGGAGGAACATTCCTTGGCCTGAGCCAGCAAGCACACTTGGGAGGGGGCACACCATGCCAATCTGTCACCCAGCCAGCGGTGCACTGAGCTTGGCTGGGAAGCCCCATCTGAGGCTGTCTGGAGGTTAGAAGCTACTCCGATTCCCTGGAGGTGAGACTGAGGGGAAAGCAAGAGATAGGGCTGGAGCCAGTGTTAAATCACCAGGGTGATGGAAAGGACACAAAGTTTTTGTGGGAGGGGAAAAAAGCCACAGCACAGGCAAGAACAAATATGCAGAGCTCAAAGGAATGGACATTTCAGGAAGGAACCAAGACAGCAGATTCAAAGTGCCCCAAACTTGGATCCAGGGGTTTCTGGTTCAGCTGGTTACACAGTTAGGGGCTGGTCATAAATTTCTCCCCAGGATCTGAATGGTGCAGACACATCTGGATTGCAGGCTGGGGTTTGGGCCCACCTCTGACAGTCTGTGCTGCGGCTGGTGATCTAAGCAGAAAGACAGGAGGGGGCCAGCCAAGGAGAGGCCTCAGTCTGGGGTAATTCCAAATTCCAGGCAGCGTGCAATCCAGTGCCCAGCCCAGCACTCATCAGGAGCAGGGATCATTCCCTATCAGTGGCCTCTGCCTTGAAGAACAGTGATGGAGCCTGTTAGAGACGAGTCAGTGCCAGAGCTCAGGGAGAGGAGGGGCTGAAACGTGAAACCCAGCTCTAGGGAACCTCAGCTTGGGAGACGGGAACACGGGCCTGTGTTGACATCACTCCAACAGGAAGGCCAGGGCACAGCAGCCACCGTCTCTCGCGGAAGGTAGGGCAGGGTGGCACCTTGGAGCTATTCCACTGGCTGAAAAGGCTGGCTGCAACCAAGCACAGTCCATCCCTAGGGTCTGACAAAGTAGGCTGTTGCCTATGAAAGCTCATGCCTCTCTGACCCAGTTAGTCTCCAAGGTGTCACTCTTGCCTGACTTTGGCCTGACACAGCTAAACACCCCTCTGCATTCTCTTGGAGCACCTTGCAATGGTATCTCAGGAAGTTCCTGCCCAAGAAGTAATAAGACTGTTAGCAACCCAGGGCAGGAACCACCAGACATAGCGCCTCATCCTCAGCCTCTCCAGAGAGAATGCTGCTACTGTTTTCTGGATAGCCCCACACCACAGCCATCACCGTGTGGCAGCTCCATCGCTGCATCCCAGGACTGCACAGCCTGCTGTAACAGATGGACATCCACAGGTTATTCCCCTGTACAGAGCATGGATCTCAGGACAATACTCACTGTCATGTACTAACGTGTATCATCACAAAAGACACTTAGTGAAACGTGAGACCTGGGAAGCTGCAAATAGAAATTGCATGTATGGTAAGTGCCCGAAGACTGCAGCCATTCAGGCACAGCATCTAAGAAACTATTTACTGCCTGGTTATAGTGGTCAGGCCAGCACCCTGTACTCTGTACGTTCATGGAGAGGCAAGACACCTTTTCTCCTTTCTATTGACTAGTTAAAAGGCAGAGAGCCCTTGGAGACTGAAGTCTCTTGGTTCTAGAGCTGGTGCAGCATGGGAAATTGCAAGATAAATGTGTCATATGCCACCCAACAGATGAATATCAGGCTAGCCCTGGAGACACTAGCCATGCTACAGGGTGGGGATTTGAGTTTGTGGTCCCTTCCATCCTAAGCCAACAAGGAAGCCAGTTATTTCTGCCTGCGATGGGATTAAATTCGTGCTGTGGACACCTGCCAACTAGGCAGCCTTTCAGTCACCATCCACTTCAGAGGATCAGATATAATGGATCGGTTGTTGTCGGTCGGCTGATCTGAGAACATGCTTTTAAAAGGAACAGGCGACTTTCTGGGCTTGAGCAGTTTCATCCTTTCAGGTGGAGACAACGGCTCCATCCTTTACTTGTGCCGTGACTGGAAACATGCTTGGGACTCATGCTGATCCCTGATGCGAGAAGAAACAAGCCCACAGTCTCAACACAGAATACAAGCCTTGAGATGCCCGCATGTGGGTGACACTTGCCCATGCCCACCCTCCGCACCTTTGGCTCTGGTCAATACCTCGTCCCTCATTAAGATCACAAACTCCACTTACAACAATGGAAGTAACCAAATGCGAGTATTGCACACTCCATTATCACATTGCTTAAACCATTTAAAGCTACAGTCATCTGGGTGCTAGTAGAGTGGCAAGGTCCTCTGTGCTACACCTACATGCCCAAAGGATGCTCCAGGGTACTACAGGGCCCCTTAACCCTCAGCCACTTGCCACTATGAGCCCCATATGCTCAGTAGGTCTGGGATGTGTCTTACCCTCTTCTGTTTCAGTGCTTCTCTTTGCTAAAGGGGCGCCTTTGCTCACTCATTTTGCACCATCCCACAGGTCTGGTTCCAGAACAGAAGAGCCAAGTGGCGGAAACGAGAACGTTATGGGAAGATCCAGGAGGTGAGAAACCCCTTCGCGGCCACCTACGACATCTCTGTCCTGCCCAGGGCTGAAAACTACCCTCAGGTACTGGGACAAAAAAAAAAAAAAAAAAAATCAGGCACGTTGGTGTGTCCTGTCCCCCCCACCCCACATGCATGCACACACACACACACACACACACCATCATCGTTTCTCCAGTTAAGTTATGTTCTCGCTTACACTGGCATAAGTCTGGATTTGCTCCACTCAAGGTATTGCAGTTATTTCCAAGCGGTACTAGTGTAAATGAGAGGACAGCCTGGCCCCAGACTCCCTGGTGGAAGAAGAGAGAGGCAGCCACTGAACTGCAGCACATTATGCCCCATTCCCAGGTCTTTGCTCACTTCACATGTCACCAGCATAATTTTGGGTCTCAGTGGCTGCTGCCCTCACATTCACCAGTTGTATTTCTAATGCCCTGAGGACATCCCCCAACTTGCAGGTCCCTGGCCAGAGTTAGCAGAGCCTCATCTGTGAGGGAGCAGGACTTGGAGGGAGCGGTCCCTTCTCTCCAGAACTCTACACTGCATAGAGATGATCAGTAGAGCTCGAAGCTCACAGAAAAGCCTCTGAGCTTTTGCAGCCAATGTTGCCAGGGGGCGAGAAGTTTCAGGTCTACCCCATCTGCATGGGAAGCCTGATAGCACCCCCATGAAGCATGCCCTCCTACTCACTCCACTCCACACCAAAGCCCAGAAACGAACCAAGGGCATTGCCTTAAAGCAGCCTTGAGTGCCTGGGACCGCTCTGGTCCCATGCTAGCTAGGGCTGTGCTAAACCAGCTCCACTCATTTCTAGGCTGTAGCATGTCCAGAGCAAAAGCAATGTCAAGGCTCACCCCAGTGGCAGTTACTTAGCACTTTTTTTCCCCTTCAAAAGGACCAGTTCACATAAGGAAAAAAACATCATTTATGGGTAAAGCCCCTTCCCACCACTGTAAGGAAGCATCAGGGAGCATTAAGAGGCTTTCATGTATAAGATAATCAGGGCCCAGGAGTCTTCCACTGTTGCCAGCTAGAGGGATTAGTCTTTTAGATCCTCCCTGAAAATTTAAGGTTCAGATCCCTGCAAGCCCAGATGGACCTGGTTAAATACAGGGAGTTCCCAGGAACCATTTCCAGCGAGACTGGCCATAGAAACTGGCCATCTCTCTGGCAGCTCCCTGTTTTACGATGACTGGCAGGACAGTATAGTTAGAAACGAGTTCAGCTGGAGAGATCGGGAGAGAATTCCAGTGACGTTTTGGTTTGGTAAAATGAGCGGCCGGGATTGCTACAGATTCAAGTCCGGTTTCAGCCAAACCCACAAAGCTCCGTATGTTCAGATAAATGCCCCTCAGATGCAGCTCATCCCCAAAGGCTGCGGAGTCTCCACCATTTCTTAGCACCAGTGCTTAGGTGCCAGCGAACCTCCAGAGCTGAACGCAGGAGTCTCTCCAGTTTGAGCTGTCGCTCAGAGTTGTAAGTGAGTCATCCTCACATGATTCAGACACAGAGAGGACTGAATGCAACACACTCAGCGAGTTGCACATGGATTAAATCCAAGCCTCTGTCTACATCTGGGACCAAACCGAGACCAATTGTTCTCTGAAGCCTCACAAAGGTATTTGAATGTGTTTAATTATTTGCAGGGATCCTGGCTTTCCTGGACAAAAAATAAATAAAATTCCAAATTTTCTGATTTTAAAAAGTAACCCCAAATCACATTTTCCCATGATTAAAATGAAGCTACATACATACATACTTCATTATATTCGCAGAAAAAATGTGACTTTTTCAAATCAGAACATTTGGGATTTTTTTTTTTTAATCTGAGAAAACCGGGATCCCAGATTATTTCCCAGGCCAAAAAGCAGAGTCCTAGGGATCCTGCATCAGAGTATATCTAGAGTGCACAAGATCTTGCTGGAAAGCCTGTCCTTGCAAGATTTCCAGCCAAATGCTGCCAGACTCAAGCGCTTTTATCTCAACATCCGCAATAAGCCCCACTTGACCTGACCAATGTCCCAAACCTTTGATTAGAGACGGACCCAGCCCACTTTTGCAAAGTCAGGTGAAACCCAAACCCCCAATCTCTGTGAATTTCTTGAGTACCCCCCTTGATTGTTAATGCATGGATCCACGTTTCTGTTTCTAAACACACTCCTGAACGTTGGGCATTGGAAATACAGAACAGGGTGGAAATTTAAATCAGCACAAGACCATTTTTGCACTTGCATTTTCCACCACGTGGACATTTTCCATAGGAAGTGTTTTCGGTCAGCTGTTTTCAATTGGAAAAATGGAAGTTGAACATTTCATTTTAGGTCAGCTCAGCATTGAACTGCACTTCCTTACTGTGACCAAACTACATCTCCCATGAGGTGATGGGAGACCCAATATCCTCTGTTCTCATCCACAGACCATGTTCCCTGTGGACTGAGTGTCAAGGAGCAGTAGGTTGGGCAGAGCGCCAAGCCCCTAGGAAGGGACTGGGGTCACCCAATCTGTACTAGTTCCCCACAGGGAAGTGCTAGTCGGTGCTGAGCTGACTCAGCATGTTCAGATTTCTAAATACAAAAAAAATTGTTTGCCAGGATCTGGCTATTGATTTATTTTTATTAAAAATAATGTTGCCATATATGAGAATTACCCAGGGGATGTATGTTCTAGTTCTCCCCTAGCCCCGTGCCATCCACATCAGAAAGAATACAGGAAGGGCAAGAAAATGCGATTCTTCCCCTCTGTTTGGCACTGGTGAGGCCACATCTGGAGCACTGTGTCCAGTTTTGGACCCCCCACTACAGGAAGGATGTGAACAAATTGGAGAGAGTCCAGTGGAGGGCAACAAAAATGATTATGGGGCTGGGGGATGGCTTCTAAGGAGAGACTGAGGGAACTGGGCTTATTTAGTCTGCAGAAATGAAGACGGGGGGGATTTAATAGTAGCCTTCAACTACCTGAAACAGGGTTTCAAAGAGGATGGAGCTGGACTGTCCTAGGTGGGGGCAGATAACAGAAAAAGGAGCAGTGGTCTCAAGCTACAGCAAGGGAAGTTTAAGGTTATATATTAGGAAAAAACTCTCTCACTAGGAGGGAAATAAAACACTGAAACAGGCTACCCAGAGAGGTTGTGGAATCTCTGCACTGGCCGCATCTAAATGTTCATTAATGCATAGTAGTTACTGTGCATTTAGTTTAGTACTTGCCTAACACAGTACTAATTATATGCACAGTAACTACAGCGCACCAGCGCAGTTTTTTTTGTTATGCTTACTGTGCAGTAGCCTAATAACACTGCGCAGTAGTGTAGTAGCACGGTTTTTGACTGCCACACTACTACTCAGTGTTATTAGGCTACTGCGCAGTAAGCGTCTCATGTAGACACACCCACTTAGAGGCTTTGAAACACCCAGCTAGACAAAACCCTGGCTGGGATGATCTAGCTGGGGCTGGTCCTGCTTTGAGCAGGGGGTTGGACTAGATCATCCCTGCCAACCCTCATTTTCTATGATTTTATGAATGTGTCCCTCAGTCCTACACTAATCAAGCCTTGCTTTTCATTTTGCCTTGCTCCAGCTGCAGAATAACCTATGGCCAAGTCCTGCACCGGGGAACCCTGCAGGCCCCTGCATAATGTCCCCTGAGGGTATCCCATCCCCCTGCATGTCTCCATACCCGCATTCCCATGGGAATGTCGCCGGATTCATGGGCATCCCTGGTTCTCCCAACCACCATCCTGGTATCAACAGCCTGTACTCCATCCATGGTTTCCCCACTTCGCTCAGCAACCACAGCTTCGAATCAGCATCAGACAACGACTACAAATCCCCCAGCCTGGTTACACTGAGAATGAAGTCCAAAGAGCCAGCCAGCCTGCTTAACTGGACCACATGATCTCCCTGAGAGAGCCCAGGCTGCGGACACAATTCACCCGCTGGGATCTAGGCCACTCTCAAGGCTGGTTCCCCACAAAGGAGAGAGAGCAAGCCCTTCGCCTGTGGTTCCCTCTTCTCTTCAACCTCCCTGCACTCCAAGCCCAGCAGCTGGCACCTCAGAGATGACCAGGAGGCCAGGGTTGGCATGAGCTGAGGAACATGGCAGCCTCCACCCTGCATGTCTCCTCATACCTCAGGTACTTGAGTGTCATAGACACCCCCAAGAAACATTTGGTGATGAACAGGTTTCAGAGGCGACAAAAAAGCTCCTATTCTAACCCCATTTTCTGCATTCCCTAGGCATAGCCCACTCAAGGGTTCCTTTGCTTCAACTTTCCCATCATTGTGGCTCATGTTGGAGGTGACAACCAGGCATAACGATTGCCAGAGCCCTAATGTGTACACCCCATACTGCAAGTGTGAGATTTCCAAAGGAGCAAATGGCCAGGGACACTGGAGCTCCCATTACTAGGAATAGTGTTGGGGGAGCAGTCTAGTGTAGACACAGCTTCATGCATATACGGCCATCCCTAGCGGGTAAAAGACCATGAATGGCACAGACAGCTCTTCCAGGTTGCTGCTCACCAACTCAACCTCTCCTTCTCCTGGCAGATCCTGAGAGAGGCCATAACAGATGCTGGTCCCATGCCCCATGGTGCTCCTTTAACATCCCGAAGGCTGCTCCCATGTGTAGACAGAACCTCTGGGTGGGTAGGGGAGGCTAGGAATCAAAAGCAGAGACTTGGGGCCCAGGGAGAGTAATTTCTAATCTACCTTGTAAGAACAGCCCACAACCTGCACCTGGCATCAGGGAGAGGAGAAGCCGAGGAGATGGGGCCCCGAGAAAACCTACCTCCTCAAAAAAACATGCAGAACCAGAAGGAGGGAAGTCCTGGAGCCAGAAGTCAAGGGATGCATTAGCTACTTTTAGGTAGAAATTTCCTGTTCCAAGGTCACCCCTTGGCCTTGGTGATTAGCCGGTTGTCTAGGGCCTTCCTGGACTCCTCCATTAACATCAGGGAGGCAGTATTTTGTGCAATCTTGTTTATGTATAAAGAATGTCCCCAAAGACAATAGGAAGAAATGACAGGAGACCGTTGCTTTGCTCAGAGTGCATGAGCCATCTCCCTCTCTCCAGCATGCCTCCTGCTTTCATGTTGCAGTCATGCATACCCCACACAGGCAGACAGCTTCCAGGGAAACCACCCACATCATATGGCTCAGCTTCTACTCAGGCTTTAACATGGCTACTTGCACCATGGATGGTGGCTTCTCTTGTTTCTGGTGCCCCTTTCTTAATGATATTGAATTGCTCCCTCATTCAGCCTAGATGAGAGGTGACTAGCACACCCATCGGCTTCAGCAAGGTCTGGGATTACACACAGATCAAAACTCATGCCTGTCACTGCAACAGAAGTGCAGTAGACAAGGTAATCCATCCAAGGGCAGAGAAAATGCAAAGATGGTGCATTGTCAGTTTGGGGGTGTATTGTAAAGGGTTCATGCAGGGCCGGTGAGATTCACCCTCCCGGGGACACTTGCCTAGGTTACCAGAGCAGCGAATGATCCCAGATCCCTCCCCATTTCCCACATGTGGGCCCATCTGCAGTTCTGAGCCTCAGAAGGGAATGAATCCATGTCCAGAAGCCAATCCTGAGATGCTAGTCTCCAACGGCAGCAAACGTCCCTGGGGAAGGATGGATGAACTGCTTCAGAGAAAACCCATCAAGCCTCAGACCTTTCCTACAGCAGTTCATGAAAGTTCAGGGACTTCATGCAGAGAGAAAGACCATCAGGTGGGAGGTCCTAGAATACCACTGGGAGGTCTGGGGTCCAACTTTTTCCCATAGTTCAAGGTCAAAGGGGCCATTAGACCACTTAATCTGACCTCCAGCATTAGATATGCATTCTGCCAGGCACTCGTGTCATCTTGGGTAAAGCACTTGAAGCTGGTGTCCAGAATAGGTTTTTTCCTTTAATTTGTGATGTAGAAGGAAGATCTTAAATATTGGGATTCTCCACCCCTTCTCCCCTAGCTTGGTGCCACAAAGTTTACTTAATATTAAATCATTATTATTAATCATTTATATTCCAGTAGCACCTCACATTCTGGATGAGACCAGGGTTTCATTATGCTGGGCGCTGTAGCCAGCAACAATAAGAAACAATCCCAAGGGCACGCAGGGAGTCTATAACAGAGCTGTACATTAAACCCAGCCCAGCTAAGTCCCAACTCAGTGCGCTAACCATGAGAGCATTTCTTAGGGTGATGTCTTTTATGGGACCAATTGCATAGTTGGGATAGAGTTAGACAAGTTCTAAATGCAAGACGTGCTTTACCAAGTCCGAGAGCATTGAAATACCTTAAGAGACTTTCTTCTTACCGCACTTCTAGCCCATCGCAAACCAGAAACCACTAAAAAAGACCTTGGGAGAACATCTGATCTCAATAGTTACCAAACACAGGGGCCTGACAGATGTTCGTAGAACAAGCATGGGTCTGCATCTGGAGGGTGAGAATGGGAGCCAGGAAGCCTGCGTCCTGTCCTGCTGTGGGACTGCAGCACTTCGGTCCCCTGGTTTACTCACTTGTACAAAGGTGGCTCATGGCAACATCCTACCCCACCAGAGGGCTGGGACATTTAATCCGTCAATCCATATAAGTGCCTAACATCACTTCATCCAAACTAGTTTGCCAGCTAACTCATCCCCCTGGGGTTGCCCGAATCAAGCCAAATACAGCAACCATCTGACAGTACAACCACCACCCTTGTGGAATAAGCCCCTTAGTCTGCTGTGTTTAGCTCTTTATTCCATATCCTACTGGTTCTCCAATCCAGAAATAGAGATGGATTAGGGCTGTGATGGATCTGAGCTCCTGGTTTCTAACAAGGGAGGTTTGGGGGGACTCCGCTCCACAGGTTCTTAGGTGATGATCACTTCTCCCTGCCAGCACCAGCGTGCTGATCACAGAGCCACGCTTCCAGCTGGAGACGTGGGTCTCCCAGAGATTACAAATGTACGCTGCACATTTAGAGTGATCTTGGGACACCACCCAGAGGGACAGCTCCTGATGATGTTGTGGGTCGCCCTATATACTGCCCTCTGGCAGTCATATTCTTTAAATCAGAGCTCTCTAACAGGACATGCAATGAAGTGGACTGGCCATATCTGCACTACTGGCAACCCATACAGGTGGTCCTGTACAGCAAACTCTAGACTGGAGATAGCCATACACTGTACAGGAAACTATTTGAAGCTCAATACTAGAAATCCATATAGAAGCATACAAGAGATCCTGCAAAGAAAAGCCCTTATGGAGCCCTATAGAGACACTTTTGTCATGCAAATTGACAAGACAAAAATAATAGGAAGAACCCTCATGGGCACCTAAAGGGCATATGCAGCCCCACAAAGCTCTGCCTACTAGCTAACTACGTCCAAGAAAGGCATGCCTACATATACCCTGCTACTCCAGGCCTTTCCTGGCGAGTGCTCAAATATGGGAAACAGCAAGCAGCACTCAAAAAACCTCACAAGCTACGTAAAAGGATATGACTTTATATTCCTATATACTACAACAAGAGGCCTCACATTGGACACCGCACAATGGATAAAGCCATAGTCTGCATAAGACAAGTTACTCTCCATAAAGGAAGTCCCATACAGGAGACCTCACTGGAGATGGCCCAATTCCCAATAGGGGAGACCCCATATTTTATTGGAAATTGCTCAGCATAGAACGCCAAAGCGAGCATAGCCATCTCCTCTCTCCACAGGAAGTGTGTCTCTCTGCTAACCTCAAGTCTAATTCATCTTAGCACCCTTCCATTGGCTGGGATGTTGGGTAGCAACCCCCCCACAGGGGTGGGTGCAGGTCCTGGAATCAAAGCCCCATGGCGCAAGTCTCAGCTGCAGGCCCAGTTTGTGCCGATACATCTGCAAAAGGTTTTGCTATTCATTTATAAACAATAAAACACATTTTTAATAAGTTATTTATGGCTCCTCCAGTGCTATGAAGGCAGCAGCTCTCAATTGCTCCACAGCTGGGGAACATTTCTGAGCGAGCTGGGGCGCAAGGTTTCAGCGGCATGATTAAGTGCTTGGCTCTCCCAACACCTCATCTCGGAGACACCACAGTTCCATTTTTCCCTTTGCAAGCCTGTGCTCAGCCACACTCATCTTGTTCACTTGCTAAACTACAGGCCTTGCAAGTACCCATGGGTGCTGCTCCATTGGTGGGCACAGAGGTGTAGACAGGGGCTGCAAGCATTTGTACGTATCAGTAGATGCCAGAGGCCTGCCTACATGACAGCCACCTCTGTTGGAACTACACAGGTGCTTTCAGAAAGTTACCCAGTGCAGATACAGGGACAGGGTCCCTCTCATGGGACACACACTTGGCCACTTGCACTATTCCTATCGCGTGCCACACCAAGCATGAGCGATCCAATGCACACAGTAGGTCCCAGTATGCATACAGCAACCAGTCTCACTGGCCTCTCTGCAGGCAAGAAAACATGGCCCCTTCGGTTCTTCCACGATGCCTTTTCCTTGCCACATCTAGCTGCTCAATGCCACCACAAGGCCCAGCCTCATCCCGAAGTGTGTGTATGGTGCGATACTGCAGGTCCCTCACATCACAGCCCCGCTCCATTGTCATTGCTCCATCCTGAGCACAACGAGTAACAGTCCTGGCTGCTTTGGGTGGAGTCGCTTCACAGGGCTGTTATTTGAGAAGTCGAAGGATGCAACACCTTACCAAGACCACCCCCCCCCCCTCCACCCACCCACCCACACGTAGGGATGATGCCAAGTGACTGTGGGGCCTCTCACCCTAAGCCATTCAACTCTTCATTAGAGCTCAATCCCACGTTGTGCTGGCAAGCTGTCCACCGACTGAGGCTGCTCTTTACAATGTGAGAAGCAGGATGTGTTTGGTAATCCCTTTTACGGGGCCAACTCTCCAGTTGGGAGAGAGGCAATCCAAGCTTCTGGCACAAAGCGCCCTTGCTCAGGTCAAACTTGTCTAACATCTCTCTAAACTATATAGTTGGCCCAATAAAAGTTATTACCAAATCCATGCTGCTCCTCACATAGCTGTGGTGACCCAAGGACTTTGACAATAGGCTCCTTGCAATGCACCTTTTATTCACAACCATTAACACGAGGGTTTGGACTGTGCGATTGCTCCTGTGACACATGACATCCCATCTACTTTCCAGTTGGCTGACTCTCAAATAGCAGGCAAGCTGCCCTGTGAGTATTTCTCTTGTGAGCCCTTGTGCAAGTGCCATATTTTCTTGCATACAATGTGCCGCAGAATATAATACGCATCTTATTTTTAAAAGGTAGAATGAAGAAAAGAAAAGAAAAGAAAAGAAGGGACAAAGCTAATGTTCCACTGACTCGCCCTCCCTTTCCTCCTTAAGGAAAGCTGAAATAAGAGGAAGCAAACCAGGAGCAGCTAGCAGACAGCTAAATTGCAATAAGGTTAACTTGATTAGCAGACCTAATGGTTACAGGCAGTCTGGCCAGTGGGGACAGGGGCATAGTCTAAAACACAGGCTAACTCAGGGTTTGAGAGCCATATTATCAGATCCAAAGGGGAAACCCTGGGATGAAGTCCAAAAAACACAGGCTGGGTCAAGGTTCAGGAGCCTGAGATCTAGTTAACAGATCCAGAGGGCAATCCAGGGGCAAAATATAGGTAGGGGCAGGGTCCAGGAACTAGATGCCAAGTTACCACGAACTGGAGTCCAGGAACAGAGCCAGGCAGGGTCAGGAACCAGGAAAGCCAGGGAAGACAAGAACAGAGGCTTACTAAAGCAGACCTTAGTCAGAACTGTTGCCACAGCTGGAGATAAATGGAGAAGTTGCTCTCCCAGAAGCCAGTCAAAAGGCCCAGACAGCAGCCAGATGGAGTTATTAGCAGAGTTAGGACAGCCAGTCAAAGCCACATCCAGCTGTGGCCTACCAGGCAGTTAGCCCAGGCTGGGCTGGCTGTTAGGACCCCTGATGGTGGATTGTCAAGACGAATAAGGAGCAGCGATTGTTAACATCCCTGGAGTGAAGAACAATTAGCCATTAAGTCAATTGAAAAGCTGCCTGCATAGTAATGCAACAGCTACTACACTGCGGAGCAGAAATCAAAGCAGGGTGCTTCTCTTCAGGGCAGAAAGTCAGCTTCCCCGCTTTATACTCATACCTCAATTTTGCGGGGCTGATTACAGATAAAAGGTAGGAGTGTAGCGAGAAATGTGGTATTTCTCTGGCAGAAGACGGTACAATGCCTCTCAGTAGCATCCTCATGGCTTTCTCTTCCTGCACTTTGAGAGACAAAGCAAGTTGTCCAGGAGCATGCAGAAAGTCTCCGAGCCAAGAACCAGACCCAGATCTTCCACCTCCCAGCCCACTGCATTCATCACAAGAGCAGCCTCCCACTACTCTCAGTCTACAGTCGCCTGCTTAAGAGATACTTCTTTCCCTTCCTCCTTTATGGATCTCAGACTGCTTCAGGAAGGAGAGTCCAAACATTAATTTGCTCATGCCTCCCACCCACTGGAGGGGATGGCAGCATCATTATCCTCTTTGGATGGATGGGGAAGCCCCCCTGCCAGAGCAGGGAAGCTGACTTGCCCAATGATAAAGTCTGCAGCGTAGTTCAGAAAGAATCCAGGAGCCCTGAACGTGCTTGAGCGGTCAGAGGTGGATTCAGGACCACTGGGCTTTATAGATTTGGGAGCTCTGTCCTCCACCCAAGGCACTAGGATAATTTCAGGACTCCTGGGTTCTATTTATGGGTGTAGGAGGCAGCATTGACAAGTGATGCGAGCAGCAGGCTTGCAGCTGGGACAGCACTTCACCTCCTCTGTAGCACCCCCAGGCAGGGCCGAGAGGTAAAAATTACACAGACTGCATTTCCCTTTTGCTGGTTTCTCTCCGTACACAGGACCTCAGGGTTTGCCGTCAACCAGAGCAGGGCCAGGAGCTTAGGTTGGCAAAGTGAGTCTGGCAGGAGCCGCTGGGAAAACCCCAGCGACTACAGCGCAGCCTGGAGAAGGAGTTGCGGTTTGCAGCTGAGGGGCTCCAGGGCAAATCCCCACCAGATTTCTGCTCACAGACAGCCCCGGTAGCCTGTCTGCTCCCCCTTGCAGCTACTTGAGTCCCTGGGCAGAGACGAAAGCCAGGGCTCTTTCTTGTGGTTTCTGAAGCATTAACCATTCAATCCTGCCTTATCTCTCCAGGACCCCGGCGGGCTTTACAAGGGGAATAAATTCAAGCTGCACAGGCCTCCCGTTCCCAATAAACACAACCACATTTCTACACAAAGATCAACATCCCCCAGCACCCCCCTCCCAAGCCGTCAGCCTTGGAAACACCAGGACACTAGAGAAACCAAATTCCTTCCAATTCCATTAGCGCAGGCCTGGCAAGCCACCATGTGCAACTAGGGGAAACAAGGCAACAAATCCCACTAGTCTTTGCACATCAAAAGCACTAATTACCCGAGTCCTCCCCAAGCCCTGTGGGGACATAGCATGCCCCATCTCATGGATGAGGAAACTGAGGCACAGAGCAGGGAAATCACACACACGCAGTGGCCAGGCAGTTAGGTGGTGCCAGGAGAGGAACCCGGGAGTCCCGTCTGTCAGCTCCCATTCTAGCCTCTCCTTTCCAATAAAAACTAACCACTGGTTATTCCTAGTATGATGGCACCCAGCAGGGACTACATGCTGCTAGGTGCTGTACATACGCAGTAATAGTCTCTGCACTGAAAGGGTCATTAGCCTCTAAGCCATGGTGTGCCCACTGCAGCTAGACAAGTCGGACAATTTTGTGGGGTCCTGAGAGTGCCCCTACACTATTTTGGGGCTCCTCCGGGGCACTTTTAAATGAGCTTTTGAAATGGGCTGCCACTCAGCTCACAAGTTATGGATGGGCCTCGAGTCCCAAAATGTTGAGAACCGCCGCTGTAATGGCAGCAGAGCCCCAGTGGCCTGGGCTGATACAGCAAGATCTCCTAGCTCAGGCAACAGCACTGCAGTGTTTGAGACCCAGAGGGGCCAGGGTCAGTGCTGCTGGCAATAACCCACCCATGGGTGCAGTGTCTCAGTAGAGATGCTGGTCCAAAGAAGCCCTTCCAGATGTTCCTTCGGTTCTGGGCGAGTCCCTTGCCAAAAGTCCCCTCCTCCCCAGCGAGCCGGCTTCCTCGCTGCAGCTGCTTCTGAAACTATAATAGGCTATTTTTTTGGATGGGCTCCCTGGGGAAAGCCCCCCAGCATCAAGGTACCCACCTCCTAATACAACCCAGAGGCTGAATCTCAGGCCCCTGGCCCCTGCTGGAGGCTGAATCTCAGGCCCCTGCAAGCCAAAAGGAGTCTTTCTATCAGCTTCAGCAAGCTGTGGGCCTAAATGCCCCCGTGGATATCAGTGGAGCCTCTCCAGTTTGCGAATGACCCCCAGGGCCAGGGGTGGACTGAGCACCTAGCAGGATGCCGGTACCTCATCCAGGGGATCTGCAAGCTGGAAGGCAGAGTCCCTCTCCTCCCCTCGGAAGGAGCCTCCTGATCCGTACCAGATGGACAGCACCTGGCCCTCCCAATCCAGCTCGGGGCTGGGTAATCTTGAGCAGGGGTGCACTGGGGAATTCAGCAAGAAACAGGCTGAGGGCTCACCAGCCCCACTCCAAGCAGTAATAAGGGAATGAATCATCTCCAGTCTCCCTAAAAGCAACTTATGCATCCCAGCCTCTGACACACAAAGCCCTGCCTGGAAAGCTGCAGAAACTCAAAGCAGCTGTGGCTGGGAGGCTGTGGCAGCCAGTGGAAGCATCCAGAGACACCTGGAGCAAGGAGGAAACCTCCTTCTGCGCTCAAGACCAACACGTCCCATCCTCCAGTCATGCTGAGATCTGGCCCAGTGCAGAGCTGTGCAGGGACTTGCACCCTGGGACCCTCTGTGGCCTGTCCTGCTGGCTCCAGGAAAGGGGCAGGA